AGGGTCGGTCTGTCTGTCTGTCACACTGTGTTTTGACCGAGGGTCGGTCTGTCTGTCTGTCACACTGTGTTTTGACCGAGGGTCGGTCTGTCTGTCTGTCACAAAGTGTTTTGACCGAGGGTCGGTCTGTCTGTCTGTCACAAAGTGTTTTGATCGAGGGTCGGTCTGTCTGTCACACTGTGAATGTGCGCACGGCTGGTGCTTTGTCTGTCACATGTTTTTTTTTTTTGTACTGCTGGTTCAAAGTCATGTTGTTTGAGGCTCTGGCTGAGGGTCTGTCATGCTGTGTGTGGCTGCGACTGAGAGGGTCTGTCATACAGCAGCTGAAGATTTATTGCTGTTATGCTGTGTGTATAGCTACTGGGTTGTTGGAAAGCATGGGAGTTAAAGGGATTCTCCAGTGCCAGGAAAACAAACTGTTTTCCTGGCACTGCAGGTCGCCTCTCCCTTCCACCCTCCATCCTAAGTTGCTGAAGGGGTTAAAACCCCTTCAGTGACTTACCTGTATCCAGCGCCGATGTCCCTCAGCGCTGGGTATGGGTCCGCCCATGCTGCTCCCCCGCCGACGTCATCCGGTGGGGGAGACCTATTGAGCATGCGCGGCCGCCGGCGGGGAAGACTTAATGCGCATGCGCGACAATGCTTTCCTATGGGGATTTCAGCGACGCTGGAGGTACACACATAGCGTGAGGATGTCCAGCGACATTATAGCACACTTTTCATGTGCTATAAACAAGGAAGTGCCCTCAAGTGGCTGTCTAGTAGACAGCCCTTAGAGGAGGCATTAACCCTGCAAGGTAAATATTGCAGTTTATGAAAACTGCAATAATTACACTTGCAGGATTCAGGGTAGTTGGAGTTGGCACCCAGACCACTCCAATGGGCAGAAGTGGTCTGGGTGCCTGGAGTGTCCCTTTAAGGTTCTTCCAAGTCACTACTCTAATCTAAAGCCTCCAGGTGGCTAAAAGCGACACTATAGTCACCAGAACAACTACAGCTTATTGAATTTGTTCTGGTGAGGAGAATCATTACCTTCAAGCTTTTTGCTGTAAACACAGTCTTTTCAGAGAAAATGCCGGATTTACATTACAGCCTAGTGATAACTTCACTGGCCACTCCTTAGATGGCTGTTAGAGATCCTTCCTGGGTCATGGCTGCCTAAATTGAATCCATATATTCAGTGTCTCCTCCCTCTGCATGCAGACACTGAGCTTTCCTCATAGAGATTCATTGATTCCATTCATCTCTATGAGGAGATGCTGATTGGCCAGGGCTGTGTTTAAATTGTGCTGGCTGTGCCCCTGATCTGCCTCCTTGTCAGTCTTCGCAAATCCTATGGAGAAGCACTGTGATTGGATCAGGCTACCACTTCTGATGATGTCAGCAGACAACAATGCAAACAGCATGCAGGGCTTGAATGCAAGTAAGATTTTGCTATATTTAGGGAGGAATGAGGGGCCCAGGAGGGCTAGATGGTGGTTTTATCACTATAGGGTCAGGAATACATGTTTGTGTTCCTGACCCTATAGTGTTCCTTTAAGTAGAGTGAATTAGAGTTACACTGTCATTTAATGCTTGCCATTGTTTTACAATTCAAAGTTAGGGCAAAATAGTTGCATTAGAACAGTTCTCAAAGTCATTTCTGTTTTCCGTTTATCTATGTTGGTTTTAAAGGAACACTATAAGGTCAGGAACACAAAAATATTTTCCTGACCCTATAGTGTTAAAACCACCATCTAGCCCCTTATGCCTCCATAAATATAGCAAAATCTTACTTGTATTCAAGCCTGAAGCTGTAGCTCTGTATGCTGTTTGCCTTAGAAAAACAAGCAGTCTGCTGACATCATCAGAAGTGGTAGACTGATCCAATCACAATGCTTCTCCATAGGATTGGCTGAGACTGACAAGGAGGCTGATCAGTGGCAGAGCCAGCACAATTCAAACACAGCCCTGGCCAATCAGCATCTCCTCATAGAGATGAATTAAATCAATGAATCTCTATGAGGAAAGTTCAGTGTCTGCGTGCAGAGGGAGGAGATACTGAATGTTTGGATGCATTTTAGGCAGCCATGACCCAGGAAGGATCTCTAACAGCCATCTAAGGAGTGGCCAGTGAAGTTATCACTAGGCTGTAATGTAAATCTGGCATTTTCTCTGAAAAGACTGTTTACAGCAAAAAGCCTGAAGGTAATGATTCTACTCACCAGAACAACTTCAATAAGCTTGTAGTTGTTCTGGTGACTATAGTGTCCCTTTAAATTTGAAATTCACCTTTGAATTCCTGGCAATTCTCACTTTAGTGATTGTGGCGAAACCAGCCTCGCCACTGTCCACTGGAGGAGCCTGGTTGCTCGCCTGCTCCCTTTAGACTATGGCCCGGCAGTTAAAACCTTTTAATTTCCCTGCAAAGTGTATTCGTGCCTTTCTGTAGACTGTTAAAGCTATGCAATGGAGCCCAGCCGTATACTGAAAGACTGTATGAAAGACTTTGGCTCCATGGCGGTTGAACTGTATGTACATGATCTGAGCGCCATTTGGTAGTAATGTGCGCTCAGATCTAAGCTATCATGGGATATGTAGAATGTATATGTTTTAGGTAATAAATGTGGCTGTATGTAATTTTATGTCTTTTACTGTATTGTTACTGCCATGTGGTTAATGGAGTTTTGCCTCTGTCCTGGGAGATAAATGGATTACTTCCCAATTATCTCCAGGACAGAGAGGAGGGATTGTGATGTAATTGTGGGAGTGTTTAAAGGTGTATGTCTGTGATTGGCTAAGAGCCAATATGTTTCCCAGTTTCCCATTTGGTCCCCTAGGGGAGTGTCCACCAGGTGGGAGACCTGCATAAAAGCCAGGCAGTTAGCCCCAGTATACCAGTTCCTGCTTAACACTCAAAGTGAAGTGTCGTCTCATTATTGGGGGAGGATTTACTGTATGCTGTTAGAGACTGATTGCCAGGAGTGTAAGCCGCTTGGGGGCTTTTCCTGTTCGTCTGCTAGCAGCTATTCGTGTGTCTCCAGTTCGGGAGTTGAGTATTCCCTTGGTATGCAGTTCGGGAGTTGGTGAATTCGTGGGTTTGCAGTTCAGGAGATTGGTGCTTGCAGTAGCTGTCGGTGCAGCTGAAAAAGGGGAATATCGCCTAAACGGTTTTTAACCCCTTGTGTGCAAAACGGTCCGTTACAGTGATGATTGACTAGCACTTTAAAGGACCACTCCTTAATGAAGTGGTCTGGGTGCCAGGTCCCTCTAGGATTAACCCTTTTATTTTTATAAACATAGCAGTTTCAGAGAAACTGCTATGTTTATAAATGGGTTAATCCAGCCTCTAAAGCCTCTAGTGGCTGTCTCATTGACAGCCGCTAGAGGCATTTGCGTGCTTCTCACTGTGAAAATCAGTGAGAAGACGCCAGCGTCCATAGGAAAGCATTATGAATGCTTTCCTATGAGACTGGCTGAATGCGTGCACAGCTCCTGCCGCGCATGCACATTCAGTCGGAGAGGAGGAGAGCTCCCCGCCTGGTGCTGGAAAAAGGATAAGTTTAACCCCTTTCTTTGCCATCCAGCCCGGCGGGAGTGGGACCCTGAGGGTGGGGGCACCATCAGGGCACTATAGTGCCAGGAAAACAAGTATCTTTTCCTGGCACTATAGTGGTCCTTTAAGTGCCAAATTTTGAGCTAACCGCAATTTTATTCCTTTTGAAAATTCATATATCATAGAAATTTTTGTGCTTTAAACTGGATGATTTTAAGCATTTCAGTCTTATGGCTATTGTGAGTTGTCACCATATCTTGCTCACACCTCTCTTCAACCATTGGAGTGATGGAGGATGTTGTCTACTCTCCAGAGATAAGGCGTTGCTGAAATTTGTAAACAGTCAAAAGTTGAGGGGGTATTTAGTATAGCATGGAAGGCACCAGTTAATTTTTAGTGGATATTGTGCTTGTATTGAATTGCTTTAGACCTTTATTTTTAAACAGTAATTTGATGTTACAGAATTGTCATGCACAGATTTCAAAAAACAAAGCTGGACAGTCTTCTATATTAATATTTATGCATTGCCTTTGTATTTTATTTATTTATTTTTTTAACATAGGAAGGGTTCCTGTTGGGAGAGGTGAGACAGGAGGAAACCTTCTCGATTAGTGATTCCCAGATTAATAATACAGAACTTCTGCAGGTTATTGGTGAGTTCACGTTGGATAGAACATATGGAAGTAGCACTGAGCATGCCCTCTTCATTCACTGCTTTTTTTGGCACTGCTTCTAGAAGTACTTTCATGCCTACTGCTCATGCAACCAAATTTGCATCTGTCATTAGGAGATTTTATTTTATTGAATTTCTTTTCCTTTCAGAGATCCATAAACATGAACCATGTTCCAATCTGTTCAGGTAGGTTTTTATATTACATGCTTAAAATATTGCATACAAATAAGCAAGACATTCTCTCTGGAGTGGTAACGGGCATAATTCATATTTTGCATATGTCTGTACACAGAAAGAACATGTTGAAGTTATAGTTTTAGCATTAATCTAAACTATATATACCTGTGTTGTTTTTTTTTGACAGTTTTTATGATTACGCTGGCACAGTCAAAGAGGAAAGTCTTGATCGGATCCTCAAAGATAGACGGAAAGTATGAGCTATTTTCATAGAATCTTCCATTTTTAAGTGATTTATCTATAGTTCTTGTGAATCTGCTATTTTGGAATAATGTTGACATTTGGTTAGTTAACCTTCATGTCTTATTGGTTTGGATAAATATCATTAAAGGAACACTATAGAGTCAGAAACACAAACTTGTATTCCTGACCCTATAGTGTTAAAATAACTATTTGGCTAAATATAGTAAAATCTTACCTTATTTCCAGTCTGCCTTCGCTGGCTCTATCTCCTATCCCCATAGGTAAGCAATGGATTGGCTGAGATCATCAATTCATCAAATCATATTTTATATTTATTTTTATAGTAAATTATGATATGTTGAAGGACCATTTAATGGTGAGAAAAACAGTATATAAAATGTGTGGGTGCAGTAAATGAGTAAGAGGAAAATTACAGCTAAACACAAACACCGCAGAAATGTAAAAACAGACCTGATCCTTAACGATAAGAAAATTGAAAAGTGGTCTGGTCACTAAGGGGTGTTAAACTTTGCTCTTTGCCCAGCCTTGTTTTCTGTGTTTAAGTAAATATATGGGTTTATGGCTACAATAAAATAGTATGCACTTTAACAGTCATTTAATGATTTATTTACAATGTCTTTGCTCTGCACCTGATTTTGGATACTGGAGTAATCATGTCTGCTTCGTAAATCATCCTCTTATTAATGTAAATCCAACTCAAATAACTGCACTGTGAAATCTGCTATGACTCTGCACAGTGGTTTTTCAATTGGAAGTCTTTCACAGTCTTTCACTAGTCCACCCATGTCAAATTGATATCTTTGCTTTCAAAACCTTTCTTAATGTCTGAGACTTATCTGGGTACCCACTGTCTTTCTCCTATTCACAGACATCCCTAAAACATAAAGTTCCTACTTCCATATTAGAAATGTAATTTCTATCCATTTTTGTGTCCGTTGAAACTCCCATACCAATGAATTCTAACCAAAGTTTGACAAAATGATATTTCTAAAGAGACTACGGTTTGGGTGTACGAGCTGCCTACTCTCATCTAATACTAATGAACATCTAATCCACCTTTTAGACTTTATATACCCTGGACGATTGGTGAGCCCTGAGGATTTGTTTGGGAACCACTGAGTTACCCTATAAATCACTTAAAAAGTTGAAGTGCTTTAGGGGTCTGAGGTATCCCTTCAAGCTAGTTATCTAGGGATATATTTTAATTTAGTATTTTTTATTTGAAAGGAAAAATGTATTCTTATTTTTGTCCCCCTATAATGCATTGCTTTTAATTTTATTTCAACCTTTTCATTATTTGTCATTTCAAGAAGGCTTAAATTTATTGTTTCCTAAACTAATGCACGTGGTTAACATTATTTTTAGACCGTACCAATCTGCTTTTATTATATTGTGCTATATTGGTGTTTTGACAGAATGTTATTGGATGGTACAAGTTTCGGAGAAATACACAACAGCAGATGTCCTATAGAGAACAGATTTTGCACAAACAGCTAACTAGCCTTCTTGGGGTTCCTGACCTTGTCTTCCTGCTGATCAGTTTCATTTCCACTGCCAACACCTCAACCCATGCCTTGGAATATGTGCTATTTAGGCCTAATCGCAGGTAGTTATCTGGGAAACCATTTTTGCAAGATGATTTTATTTTCCAAGACACTCCTATTTGTCTAAAAATGCATCACGTCTGAACAAGTTGTAATTGTTTTTTTAGATATAACCAGAAAGTCTCTCTTACAATTCCAAACTTGGGTACGACGAGTCAGCAAGAATACAAGATATCTTCTGTGCCAAACATCTCACAAAACTATGCCAAAGTGATCAAAGAACATGGGTGAGCATTAACAATCTCTTTCTTGCTTTTTATTTTCAGAGTTTTTTGGGAAAGAAGCTGGTTCCTAATGTATTGGTTGAAGTTTGTTAAATTGTATTTTTCCACCCTTGAAATGGGACACTATAGTCACCAGAACAACTACAGCTTAATGTAGTTGTTCTGGTGTGTATAGTATGTCACTAAAAACTTTTTAATATAAACACCGCCTTTTCAGAGAAAAGGCAGTGTTTACATTACTGCCTAGTAATACCTCTAGTGGCAGTCACTGAGAACGCCTGTAGAGGTCCTTCAGTGCTGCACAGTGTGCCACACTGACGTTCCTCAAAGATGCATTGATTCAGTGCATCTCAATGAGAAAATGCTGATTGGCGCAGCGTGGTGTTTTACCGCACATGTGCAATAGCCAAAGCATTGGATTGGGTGAGATCATCAAGATTGATCTCAGCCAGGGAGGTGGGGCTTGGGCAGAGCGAGCCACGAACGGACCCGTGATGCTGGAAAAAAAGTAAGTTTTTGTTTGTGTTTTTTTTTTTTTTTTTTTTTTAATACTTTTTTTTTGCTGGGGACAAGGGAGGCCGAGGATTAAATGGAGGTTTCTAAACTATAGTGTCAGGAATTCAAATTTGTATTCCTGACACTATAGTGTTCCTTTAAAATATTACTTCGTAGATGAAATTACTGTTTTCAGGCAAGGTTAATTTTTATGGGAACAGCATCATAAGTCAAAGGGAAGCAGCACACTACATGACCAAAAGGTTATTTTGTAGTGTCGTGGTCCACGAAGGCTTGGCTGTCTGTGTTCAGCATTTCCATGTGGCCAAATTATGCTTACCCACATATTTTGGACAAATAAAGGAGAAATGTTAGTCTTGAAATTCTTCAGTTTTTTATCAAACTAGAAGGCTTCACACAAAGCTTCCCTGTACCATTACCACTACAATACACTGTGGTGGGTATGTTGCATTGAGTGTTCCTTTTTTAATATGCAATAGAATGTTGGCATCATGCAGAACCTCTTTCATAAAAGATTAGTTTACGTTGAGGCTGTGATGTGCTGTAAAATCTGTATCTTCTGTAATGAAATCTCTATGGTGATATATGACTGAGCTTGTATTGTTAGGCTGCAGGGAAGGGAGGCTGACAGAACTGGTGGACAAGAGAGATGGATGATTTACTAAACGACAAGGCATGTGGCAGCAACTTAATATGTGAAACATGGAGGCGTAATTCAATAGATTCAATAGTAAAATCTAAGAAATAGAGTGGTAAAGATGTGTGATGTACGTACCTATGGCTATGATATGATTACTGGTGCCTGAATTCGTGGTTCTAGCATTTCCAGGGAGTTTCGCAAACTTCAGTTTATGTGTGAATGGAAGCTTTTGGTCAAAATCTGTTTAATCAGGTCAGAGACACACTGTGTGAAATTCCTGAACCACTGTGTCTGATGTCATTAATGATATTAAGGTCAGTGTCACTAAAATAAAGCATCTTTCCCTAGACTAATGTTTAAACTAAAAACTGTTAATTCTCTTCACTATATATGTAGTATAAACTATTTCTGCATTGTAGGATATTATCAATCCTCATGACTTTTGTCCAGTCATGTTTATTATAGAGTAGCCAGTAACACAGCGCATGCATATCAATCCAAAGCTTCTCTTTGAGAAGCAATAACTCATATTTTCCTTGTAGAGAAACAATGGACGCACACAGCATCTAGTGTCGGCATTCTTTGCATGCATGGTTAACAATGGCAAGGCAAATTACATTTCAGTGTTTTTTTGCAAGGCCCTGTATGATGTTAAGATATATTTTATTGTAGTGTATTCTATCAGGGTTATGCATTAAAGTATGAATTGTTGGCTATTTTAATTTCATATTTTAGGCAAAATAGCTGAAATTAAAACATTGCTGCTTGTGGCATGAAATCTGGAATTCTCTTTGAATCCCCCAACAATTCACACTCTATAGATTAAACTAGTTTGCCTGAAGTGCACTTCATTCTCTGCAACTACTTGAACATCAGCCCACTACCCCAAAACTATGCGTAGTGTTTCATTGAAGCAGAAAACAGACTTGTGTATCACCATAGCAGCTATTTTTATCATTCTGCCTTTGTTGAATTTATACACCTATGTATTGATATACTTGGAGTACTTTTAAAGGTGCAATTGTGGTTTTGGTTTGGATATTTTATGGCATTGTTTGTCTTCTGCTTTTCTTTTTCTTGTAAATGGGTCTGTGGGTGTTGTGTGTGGATGTGTGGACAAGGGCAATCAGGAAAGGCACAGTGTGTAGATGGTAGAGAAAATATTTTCATTTTCTATATGAACACTTCTTATTGCTTCTTTCAGTACAAATTTCTTTGACAAGGATGGTGTGATGAAGGACATCAGACTTATTTATCAGGTCTATAATGCTCTACAAGAGAAGGTTCAGGTGAGTTTGAACGTGAAGTTGTGAATCTTGTAAGCTACACAGCCAGCTAGAAAGAAACTTTGTGAGTAGCTAGAATGCCAGATCTTAGCCATGACTGCAGTAGCTTTTACATTGGCTAACGTGTTTAATTATGTTTCTGCTAGGCTGTTTGTGAAGAAGTGGAGAAGAGTGAAAGGATAGTGGAATCCTACCAGGCAGAAGTGAATAAATTGCGTGCTCAGATTTGTGAGAGGAAGGCAGAGAAGCAGCACGAACAAAGTAAGTTCCCATGTTCTGTAGGTAAAGTCCATTTATATTGACTAACATGGCAGAGCTTAAAATTCCAAGTTTTATGCTACTAGCCAAAGCTTAAACGATACTCGCCACTGCCAGCCTGAAGAGTCCATGACACATTCACCAGGGTTAAATTTCTTCTCGCCGGTGGCAAGTGAAATTTCTGAGCCCTGAACGTAGCATAGCATGAATCCCCAGCAGTGCAGTCTTTACTGGATTTTCTATGGCTCTTAAAAATAAATAAGTACCTAGTGCATGATATGATTAGTATTTTAGTTGGTTAACACAAATTGATAATGGTGTCATCTTTGTATTTATTCTCTGTAATAAACAAAAAAAATACTGATCACCTCTATGCGATACACTAAGGGTACTAACCTCATGTAGAGTTATGTGGGCGTTAACGTTGCAATATTTAAATCCAGTTCATTTCCAAGCTCTATTAATGGCAGCAGCTACAAGACCCATTGGTCTTGAGCAGCACACGCTAATCAGAGGAGCAAAGGGACAGGATTAGGATTGATGCATTGGTTAACAAGATGTTGCTTGGGGAACAGTCATGGAGTGCTTTATAGGAATGTGCAAGGTTTTTCAGTTCAATCAGCAAACAAATATCTGTGAATGTTGACAGAGGGGTGATTTGTTTTCACAGTGAGTGGGAATGGAACATAGGCTGTCATCAGTGTTCATTAGTCATTGTAAAAGATAAAGTCTTGGGAAATTAAGATTTTTGTGGGTTTTTATTTTTAGTTTGTTTTTGCAATAGGCAAAACTAGAAGTAACTCCTATTTTTAAATCATTATCTAGATAACTCTGTAAAAGTTAAAGTTAACATGATTTGCAGCTGTTGCAATGAGATCTGCAAAACTCGCCCAAGTAGGTGAAAGCTTGTAGAGAATCCTGACTCCCATTATGTTCAATAGGAGAACTGAGGAAATATCACAAATGTTTGCCAAGTAGCATGTAATAAAATTCATGTAAAGCATTTGGTTCAGCATCGGTAGTGGTTTTATTCATCCTGACATACAAATGAAACTTTTGAGCAAACATATTGCACCATTATAGACAAGTCATGGATATTAAATTAACCATTCTTTACAATAATAGTCTGCAGAGGACCATGGTGATTTCCAATGTAAGCAAACAGAACGATAAGGCTACATTGAGCAATAAACTGAAGTAACTATTTTTTACTGCAAAATACAGAAGACGGGGTCAAAATTTGGAATAAAACTCACGGATGTTTCCTTTTAAAATGTCAACAGAACATGCTAGGTAGTGGTAGTATGATGATGAATATGGAATGTCTTCTTTATACAAAATTGATCCACTTCATACCAAAATGAACATAATTTGATTACTACAAATTACTGAAATAGTTGCCGGCCGCAATATTTTTTATTTTTAAATGGATACTACAGGTTACTTTAGTATTAATGCTTTAAGGCACATTTGGGATAAGGTGGAACTGAAGGTTCATATTATGAATGTCTGAAAACATGGCAGAAATTGTGTGATGTTATTGATCTGGCATAATCTAAGTGTTTACATCCCCTTGTTTAATCTATGACACAAAGAATTCAGTCTAGAGACAAAAGGGTTTCCTGGCCATTACTAGACAGGTGTAAATTGGCCACTGAGTGTATTACTTGTCTCTATGGTGGTCTCCATTGTTTACATTAAAATATGAACCCACAAATTAGAGGTTTAAAATGGTAATATTGCATTTTTCACAGTAGGTGGCACTTTTTTAGAATGTGCTTTTTGAATTTTAGCTATCGGAATAATAATAATGTTTATAACCTCACCTGAATCTTGCTGTTGTCTATTATTTAAAGTACATCTTTCATTCAAACACAACTTGGCGTCACTTTCAACCACAAGCCATTTGATTTATTCTGTATGTTGCTTCATTTAAATTTCTTGAAAATTTTTAATGCAAGTATGTTTCGTTTTCAAAATGCTCATTTACATCTGCTATTGGCAAAATTTCTTGCACATGTACATTTACATAGACTTATAGTGTAGAGGAAAGTAATACTTCTCTAATTTTATCTATTTGCGAATAAAAAGACGTTTTGGAAATAAAAAACTTGCATATGGCTAGATCTTTATAAAGGTCCATGTGGGACCAAAACGTTCATTGAATATGTAATTGCTGGGTTTTTTTGGAAATAAGAGGGTTTTTTTTATTTTTTATTTATTTTTTTTAATGCATCCACCATTAAGAAGGTCTGTTAGTGCACCAATTCAGAGTTTTATAGAATCTTTCGAGAGGGAAAGGACCAAGTGTTGTTTGACATGGAACAAACTTTTTTTCTCTCTAAAAGAACGTGAGTGCCTATATTATGGATTACATGTAAGATGCTAAGTATTCTAATTTTTTGCAGATCTGCAGCTTTTCTGTAGACCAAAAGGTGGTTTAAAATTTATCTTCAATCCTGACCTTCCCATTGTATTCCATGGGAACACTTTTATGTCTACGGAGGATCTTCCATAGACCGAGCCTTTTTCCGGTCAGCCATTGGTGTGACAGCAATAGCTCTGTCTTTTTGTCAAGCGTAGGAAAAATACATAAGACAAAGTAGTACCTACTTTGTCTTATAAGATGCTATAATATGAGGTGTTGGTTTTAATCACCCGTACCTGCATCTTATAATAATTTCCACATGGCTGTGTAATCGTATAGCCAGATTGAGTAACTGTATGATGGTCCTTTTGTCTGAAAAATAGGAAAGTACGTGTTTTCAACCGCATTTTCTCTTTTCCCAGATCTGCGTCAATCCCTGTTACTCCGGCCTGAAGGACCCGCAGACAGCATGTTTGTCAGTGGAGACTCTATAGGTGCTGCTTCTAGGCCACAGGACCTTCTACCACATCCATACTTGGAAGATAGTGCAAGCACAGATGATGTGGATAGCCCGCCTGACATGCCAAGGCCACAGGCAGTGGGCTCCTCATGTCAACATCTGGTAAACAAACATGGTGGGAAAGGTACCTCTAAGACATCAGTTAGTGAAGATATGGAGGAATCACAAGGTGACTACAAAAAGTCACGGCATCGTACGGAGTCAGCTGACAGTGAAATGGCAGAGGATCAGCCCTGCCAACCCAGCACACAACCCGATAGAGATGTAGCACTCCAGTGACTGCCTCCTGTGTGCCAGAAAGTACAGTGGGAGATTCTGGCAATGTTACATGGAATGTAAGCAATGTGAAGCTGCCAGCCTTTGGGAGTAAAGTCTCCCTGCTGCATACTTGCAGCACCTTTTACTCCCCAAGCAGCTACCTGTATTCATGGACTTCTTAATCACTGATGCTTCTATGGAGCAGAAAATATAGACAAAGCTGCGTGTCGTGTGTCATGTAAATGTCGAGCCAGTACTTTTGACCTCTTGAAGTTGTATAGAATTGAAGGGATTATTAGGGAAATAAGGGAGTCGGGAAATCTTAACAGCTCGCATTATAATTTTAGCTAGGAGTTTTGGCTAAGATGTTGTTCATCCCATTAACTGCCAGAATAAGCCTTGCTCTGACAGTGAAAGATTTAATGTCTTCAGTCTTTGTAACTTCAGCAGTTAAGGAAGTTTGGACAATCTTCCAGATTCAGATGCCTATCTTTGGTGGTTCATACTACCACCCACACATCACATACTTGCCTATGTCCCACTGCTGTCACTTTCCTTCACTTTAAATTTGATGTGTTTTTACAAAAGTTCTATCTCGAAAAAAAATATTTAACTTATTTACCTTTCTGCAAACATAATTGTACACCACTCCTTAGCATCAAATCTATACAGTCTACTCATTACTCTTAAGATGCTATCCATTTCCCGCATGTCACATTATTCTGGAATGCCTTATTGCTTAAGTTTGACACACATTTTAGACCTCTGACATTGAACCCCAGTAGGTAAATGAGCACAATTACAACCTTATTGACCAAACTCAACATGTTACAGTGAAAACCAAAGTAACCAACACCTTCACCGGTGCATATATATGTAATGAGAAACAAAGTTAACCCATTTCTACAGATCCAGCCCTCAGAACACATTGTATCTAGTAGCAACCTTTGGTGTAAATAGAAAGCATGATAAGGTTCTAATCACTTGGAGCTTGGAATATTTACGTGGATATATTTTTGCTGAGATGCTTGATCTACACAACATTGAAGATGCAATCCAGATATAACAGACGCGGGGAATCATTAAGTGACTGTTTTCATATTTACGCTCACATTCTTCTCTTCTAAACAAATTCCTTTATTTGCCAGATGGTTGAGTGGAAGGATATTTTTAAGATTAGCTGCACTTTTTAATTTAACTAAATGTTAGTTTTCACTCAATCAGTTGAGAAGGAACAAGGCTTTGGAGTGAGGTGTCTCATCTTGTAAATTGAACATTTAAGCACAGAGATGCTTACCACTAGGTTAATTGCATTGTGGTTACAGTAGTACACTTTGTTCACATGCAGGCGAAGGAAGCAAAGTGGGTTGCTGCTGAAAATCTTGCCTGAAAGATCGTATAGAAAAACTTGTCTCATTCTCCAAATGGTGCACAATTTTTCAGCCTTAAGACTGGTACATATGTTCCAGTCAAACATAGTAAATGTGTTTTAGTTTGTTATTGTGTACAGAAACTTTATGCCCATCTAAAGGTTCATATTCCATCAAAACAAATGCTCAATTTCACATTTGTTTAACTGATTTCCATGGCTCACTTAAATAACTGGTAAGAGCACTGGTTGTGTGGCCATTCAGATGGGACATTCTATTTTCGCACCTTTTAAAATACAAATGTATTTAAATTGAATCCACAGCAGGGGTAGCAAACTGATCCATGGTGGAGTTACTTCTTCCATGATGACTTGCCAACCTCTAGGAAATGTAGTTTGACAACATCTGTAATGTTTGGACTACAGGGTAATTTCTTTTATGCCATAACCAACCTTCACTTTAAGGCTAGAAGGTTGTCTTTGTTCTCTATATTGATATTACCAGTCTATAAATTGAGGTTTTTTTTTGTTTTTTTTTTAAATCCCAGCGCCTAATTTCCCCTAAATTATAGTCTAAGCTTAAGAAAGGTTCTTCAGGTTTAGCACACATTAAAAATGTTGATGTGAAGTAATAAAATGTGATCAGATTTCTGCTCAGTGTAGAATTTTGTTAACCCATATCCACCGTACTTTCATTGACCATATCAACTGTACTTGCAGTTAAATGCAAAAAAAAATAAACTGGAAATCCGAGATCAATCCTTTTTTTTTTTTTTGTGTGTGTGTGTGTGTGTGTGTGTGTGTGGTGAGTTTACTAAAAGATGAAATGATATATATTAAAAAAAAAAAAAAGTCTTATTTTGGAAGCATATTTAAATGTTGGAAAAAGTAGATTCCATGAAGTACTGAGGCTTTCACCTCCCCTGACCTTGCTCGGAGAGAAACAAAGTGAGATTTTCAAGAACTGTCTGTTAATGAGCACATTTTTAGAAATGATGGCCATCTACACAACAGAAATATAGCTATTACTCCAAAGAGCTTGGCAATACTATGTTAATGACTTGCAGAAATGTAGCATATGACACAAGTGTGTAATAAGAGGGTAACTGTAGAGGGCGCAGTGGCATGATTAAAGACTAGAATGAAACAGGTCATTGAGGTTCCTATGCCTTGCAAAAATATCTCAACTACGTCTGTTATTTGATACGTCTTTTGCAAGCAGTAAATCAAATTTCCTGTTGGATGTCTGTTTAATGTGAGATGGAAAGACAGGCAGATGTTCTTCTTACTTGTCATCCCTTGTGTTAAACAACCTTCGAATGACTTCCCATCTACATTTATGAATTTGTCATTGAAATCCTGACTTCCCACGATTTACAGCTGCTTTTCATGCTATTACATAAACTTGATGATCCCTCACGTCTAATCTCCTAAATCTTATAGCTTTGTTTTCCATTAACAGCCACGTAGAGGAATGCTCCGATCACCATAACCACTTCAGTTCTCTGACACCCCCAATGTACGTAGTGGAACTGTTTGACTCATTTCCTGATGTCCACCAGGCATTGCTCCTGGTCTGTGGGCCAGAAGCTCCTACCAGGAGCTTTCTTTACCTTTCCAGAGCTAAACCAAGCAGTGCAGGCTTTAGCTTATTGGCTGAGAGAGCATGTTAGACAGCTTCTAGCTTTCTGGGAGGTGGATGGAGTAACTCATTAAGTAATATGAGCTGTTGTAGATCCTTATAATGCAAATAGGCGAATCGCCCCTGGATCGTAATTAAAATTTTGCCCAGCTGCCCTTTGAGACATGACGGGACTTGTATTAGAACTTGCATTTTACATTTACCAGGTAAAATTAATGGCAGGAACTGTCATTGATATAGGCATGGCTTGGATGCGTAAACAGTGGTTTTACTAGCAGGCTTTGTGTCACAATACTATTGCATTGCTTTCTAGTTTCTGTTGCCACATGTAATGGTCTTTAAATTTGCTCTCGTGAACCACAGTAATTTGTGAAGCTTAGTGAATATCAAAACGTTTTTAAACTGTCTGTACACACACACTGCCTCAGAAGTAACAGTGAACAAAATAATGAAAACGGTGCGCGTTAGCTTAACATTTAAGTAGCTTAATTGCAATCAAAAGTGAAGGTGGGTCTTTTCAGGTTGTTTGCAACTGTATGTATTCATAAGCCATGAAAGCGGATGGACAATTATAATTTTGATAAAAACACATTTCAAGACAGCATGAAATAACTATAGAGGTTTTTAAAAGAACCCAAACTGTGCTAGGAATTGCTGGCAAATCTTCAAAATTCCAAATTACGACCACACATTTTATAATAAGGGATCAACACAAGGGTACCTTAGCCATAATAGATGAAGGAAATTATATCTGGGCTCACACAAGATATGTCCCACATTGCACTGTATTTGAGTGAAAGGGCAATGTTATGACTGCTAAATGAGCCTTGGTAGCTTGAGAAAGGCTTATGTGAGAGCTAAAGCATTGCTAATCCACAACAATAAAATCTGCAGTTTAGGATATATCCTGTGTGTGGATAAACATCTTTCCTTCATCTGGATTGCTGGCAAATGACAGAATATCACACACACACTCCCTGCATCCACAGACGTAGAATTGAAGTGTATAGTTTCTCTCTGAGCTAGTATGCTGCAAGCTCTTGACTCTTTGGAGACATTCCACTTAATCCTCTTGTGTCAAGCTAGGGCAAAAAGATGTTTAACATTGTGTATGAACACAAATCCTGGTTCCTGATCAATGAGTTGGATAAAAAAAAAATTTCTATTGAGCTGTCCCAATTTCCTAAATTCGGAAAATTTTGTTTTAGAGGAAAGTTAAAGGATGCATTAAACTCACGTCTCCCAATCAGACCTGGTGGGCAAACACGATGGAATGGATAGCTATGTCGTGGGAGTCATTAGGTTCAAATATTGCTCTGCATGGCTGAATAATGACCAAGGAATATGAGGTTACCCCGCAGGGCCAGGCGCTTTCTAATTTTAAATCACTGTTGTCCCATGACATACTTGAAAACGAGAGAAGGCTCACAGGGTTATTCACTAAAGAATAACCGGCAAATTTAAAGTGAATTTCAAATTTAAGGCCAAAATGGTCAAACAGTAAACAACTGACAATAAAACTATTTTTATAATTTGGCTATTTTGGTATAACTTTTGGAATTCCCTTTCATTGTTATTTACTAATGAGAGAATTGACAAGAATTCAAAGTGAATTTAAAATTTAATACCAGACTAGCTAAACTGGAAGCACAGCTGGCTCGGAGATTGTTTCCACGTCAGCTATTTTGGCCCTAAATTTTAAACTTTTTAAAATTACTATGCTTTTGTTCAGAGTAATCCTTTCTAAACTGCTACTCCACTCCCCCATCCCAAAAAACAAACCTCTTTGATCCCTCTCTGCTGACATCACCACCCTCAAGGAGTGGCAGCCGGGGGTCACATACTTTGTATTAGCAAGAAAAACACCCCAATGACAATGCTGGAGGTGGAGGTACGCGTTTGCCCACAGAGGGGTTAAACGCTGTGCAACATTTCATAGCAAAACACTGAATGTACTGACTCCAACTAGTAATGGTCCAGGGAGTAAGTAACCTTTTCATGGAGAATTATAGTTTGTTTTTTTCAATATATAATTTTTATTGTGATACGTCAATGGTAAAAGGATTACAGTATTACAGAAACATTTGTCATAGGCATGAATCGCACGAAGTTACAGATTGACAGTCTGTATCAAGGATGGGTACATGTAACAATGCAATTTAAACGGTAACATAGGCTGGAGCCGAGAAAGTGGAACAGGTTATTGGGGTAACTAGAACTCCGCCGTTTTGGCAATATACTTTATTGTAAACGGTTCTCATATCTCCTCAATCTAGGTCAGGCATAGGCAACCTTTGGCACTCCAGATGTTGTGAACTACATCCCCCATAATGCTCCTTACATCCATAATGTTGGCAGGGTAGTCCAAAACCGCTGGAGTGCCGAAGGTTGCCTATGCCTGATCTAGGTCATGGTCCTATGGCTTGGTCATATACTGTAATTCTAGATAGGTAATCAATTTTGGAGTTTTGAAAATAAAAGAACAACAACAACGTAGGAGTAGGGTGGGAGAGCATAATGGGTTTTTATATTTTAAGTAGATTTAAATATCCTCCTTCCCATCCTTCAAAGAACTTGGTGTTTGTTGAAAAATACCACTATGCATCACTTTTGACATCGCATGTAAATAAGGACACGCTGTCCTGAAGACAAAGCATATGAACACTATTATTTAGATCTCTAATAACTTATTGTCAGGTGATTTCTTTGTTATTTTCTCCATTTGCATACCACATTTGCATTGTTTGGTGGCCTCATAACAAAGCAAATTACTCCAATTATAACTACAAAGTTTAGCAGCTGCCTACATTATGCATTGATTAGTGATGATAGAGAAATAATTTATATTTATGAACCAAACCTTATGTGTGATTGGGGTATAACGTTAGTTTACCCTTTAAAAATATAGTGTTTGAAAAAAAGAAAATGTAGCAAAGAACGGTAATTTGGTATAGAATAATAGAAATGTGCAACCAAATGATGATAATCTATAATAATTCACCAGAAGTGGCCATTATCTGCCAGCAAATTAGATTGAATTGTATTTGCAGGCAAATAGTGGCAAAAAATAAATAAATAAAAAATCTGTCATTAGCACTATTTAATAATCTAATCCTAGGGACAAAGTGTTAACTCAGTTGAAGGGTACACATATCCCAACAATGAATTCATAAACATTTAATAAAATATATATTTGTATCCCTTTGTATATCTCTCAATCCCACACTATTCATTTATCCTCTCTCCCCCACTTGCGTCCATCTCCCCATACTTCCCCTCCACTAATGTCCTTTGCATATACTACCCATCCTTTATGCCCCTCTGCCCATATCCTCTTTTAGCACGTGTCTCTGTCTATACCCCCTATACTCAACCCAAGTCCTTCTGCCCATACCTTTTTTTATTTCAATTCTTTTTATTAGATTTTTTTCATGAGAATAATAATAGACATAACAACATCTCGGGGGAGGAACCTTACAAAGAAAAATTAAGGACTCTTATCCCCATTAACCCCTTAACCCCTTAAGGACATATGACGGAAATATTCCGTCATGATTCACTTTTATTCCAGAAGTTGTGTCCTTAAGGGGTTAAGGATGGAGCCAAATGTACACGTTGTGAACAAAACAAAATGTAAACAAAACCTGGCATTTGCGCTACATGTCTGTCCAACCGTAATTCACCTCTTTCATAGTAAATGCACCCACCCTTATTATATATCATTTTATTCAGGGGAAACAGGGCTTTCATTTAATATCAAATATTTAGCTGTGAAACATAATTTAATATGAAAAAAATGGGAGAAAATACGATTTTTTAAAATTTTTTTAGTTCTACATGACATTTTAACGGTCAATGTCATAATACTGTTTGCTTTTACTGCAATAAAATACACATATTTGTATTCAGTAAAGTCTCACGTGTAAGACAGTACCCCCTATTTACAGGTTTTATGGCGTTTTGGGAAGTTACAAGGTCAAATATAGCACATTACATTTGAAATTGAAATTCGCCAGATTGGTTACGTTGCATTTGAGACTTTATAGTAGCCCAGGAATGAAATTTACACCCATAATGGCATACCATTTACAATAGTAGACAACCCAAGGTATTGCAAATGGGGTATGTCCAGTCTTTTTTAGTAGCCATTTGGTCACAAACACTGGCCAAAGTTAGCGTTAGTATTTGTTTGTGTGTGAAAAATGCAAAAAACGCCAATTTTGGCCAGTGTTTGTGACTAAGTGGCTACTAAAAAAGACTGGACATAGAACGCTGAAGAGAGCAGACGCATGTCGGCTAAGCTCCCGCGGCGGGCATAATAAACGGCAAGTACTGGGGCACCTACCTACCCTAAACCAGCCCGGGACCGGGTCAAACAATACAGCTCACAATGGGGAAGAAGGCGAAAAAGCTAAAAACCCTTACCGGGAACGGCTCCCGCGATATTGCCGACCTCCTACAGCCGCGGCCTAGGCCCAAAATGGCGCCGCACATAGACGCCTATTCTACATCTTCTGAGGAAGAAACCCTAGACGCACCTGATGAAATCCCCTGTCCAGGGAGCATGAACAGCCCTCAAAGAGAGGAAGACCTAACAGCCCCAGCTACAAAAGGGGACATCAAAGCTCTATTGACGAACATAAGAGCTTTCTTCAATGCAGACTTGAATATTATGCGTGAAGATATCACAGTGGTGACAGCAAGAATGCAGGCTAACGAGGATGCCATAACCTCCCTAGCCCAAAAGCAAGAAAGCACCAACGAACACTTGCTACAGCTCCAAGCATCACACAAAAGCATGCAGGTCAGACTGGACACCCAGGACGACGCAAGGAGGCGTAATAATCTTAAAATCAGGGGTATAGCCGAATCAGTTACCGACCAGGAACTGCCCCATTTCTTACGCCGACTATGGACTACCCTACTGCCACAGCGCTCTGCGAAGAGCATTCAGGTAGACGGCTGCTATAGACTGGCTAAGTCAAACAGGGCCCCGGCTGGGGTTCCCCGAGACGTCCTGATACGTTTCCCGCTACTTCGCGACAAGCTGGCACTGCAGGATGCTGCAAAATCCAGAACACCTCTTAAGTTTGAGGAAATGCAACTCCAACTCTTACAGGACTTATGCCGCTCCACTCTGGAATGGAGACGGTCTTTTCAACAGGTGACAAAGATCCTACGCTCTGCAGACGTCAGCTACAAATGGGGGCCCTCTCGAGCTCTAATAGTCCAGAAAGACGGGAGCATGCATCAGCTTTCCACCGCAGAGGACTCAGCGACATTCCTGCAAGGACTGGGCCTTACCATGTCTTCTGACAACACGGCACGTCCAAGCCACAGATGGGACATACGCAGGATTGTCCCTTTTACCCCACGCTCTGCAGATGACACCGGCTGACTGATGATGCACCAGCAGTCACAAAGACCTGGACTGATTCCCACACCAGTACCAGACACCGGTTAACCCCCGATGTTTCAATGTTTAAATGCTATATGTCTAAATGCTATCGTTTTAATGTTTTCGCACCGCCCGGCACTGTTAGAATTCCCGGGTCATAAATAATACAGATGACCCTAGGCGACCGCACACTTCTTACAGTATGTCCCGATTAGAGGACACAGACACCGGAGTTTCCCCTCCGCTCACCTCCCCATCCCCCTCCCCCCCCCAACACTCTGGGGTAACTGAGTGTAAATCGATAATCAACACACCCGACTGACCACAATTTTGCCTAAGTGTAAGACAGGACCACGGATGCTCAATGCATCTCCTAATACTTCACTCACCATACTACCTTACAATGCTTAGCCACTTGCCTATGTTTATGCAAAGGTCAGCCACTCTCCCTTTACAGTAGCCCCAGACATCTACTGGTTAGCCTGAAAGCTAAGCTACCATATAATCTTTAAAATGTGCGATATATACAAATGCCATAACCCTGTTTTATATGTCTTGTTATCGATCTGTGTGCAGAGGCTGTTGTGGCTTACTGAACACTATGTTATTTCTTTGCACGCTATAAATAAAGAATTAAAAAAAAAAAAAAAAAGACTGGACATACCCTGTTTGCAATACCTTGGGTTGTCTACTATTGCAAATGGTATGCCATCATAGGGGTAATTTTCATTCTTGGGCTACCATAGGGTCTCAAATGCAGGAGGCAGCTACCCCCGGCCATGTGATTGTGGGGTCCTCGCAAGGACCCCACTCTCACATGGCCGGGGGGCTTCGAGGAGGATGGACGTGCCGCGAGGGGCTCCCTGGAAGTCCCCCCCACAGCGATCGCCGGCATGGGATCGCCCGCGACCAGGTAAGTCCCGAAAGACCGGAGGGCGTACTATTACGCCCGGCGGCGTTTAGAGCCGCTTAGAATAGGGCGTAATAGTACGCCCTCCGGTCTTAAGGGGTTAAACAAACAAAGGTATATTATTCTATTTCAAAATTCATCAATAGGCCGTCTAGAACACAATAATACAATAACATTAAAGTCCCATCGAGTGAATATCATGGTCCAAAATCGGCCTTAAAAACCTTATAGATAAGACAGACAAAAACAAAGACAAAACTGGTCATATGTATTGCAGATCCACAACCACATTTAAGTAATACAGTATGAGGACAAGGAGCCCAACAATAGAACCTGTTAAAAAAAACCATCAGATTAACCATAAGGTAAGCAGTACCCCACCTCCTCAAACTCCTTAAAGCCCATTAATTTTTTCAACAAGACTAGAATAAAACGTCAGAGAATTAAAATTAGGATATTCTCTCATGGACATTAACCCCTTTTCCATCTCGACTTGGAATAGAAGTTGGGCTTTAACTTGATCTCTCGTAGGAATATCAGTGCTTTTCCAAAATCTAGCAATTAATATTTTAGTAGCCATTAAACAGTGTATAATCACAATATCAAGATTAGCCTTCATTTCTAAACCCAAAAGTTGGAATAGGGCGACTTCCGGTTTGAATTCCAAATAAATACCTCCAATTCTATTTATAAATTCATATGTAATCATCCAAAGAGATTTAATTCGATGGCAGGACCACCATATATGAACCATAGAACCATCTGGATGTAGACAGCGCCAACAGTTAGATGGATTAGTAATAGAAATTTTAGCAAGTCTGGTCGGTACCAGGTACCATCTATATAATATTTTAGTAAAAGTCTCTAGAATATTCAGGCAGTGAATAATTTTTTTTAGTCCTTACAAAAGATTTACACCAACTATTAAATGGAATAGAAATTGCTAGATCAGTTTCCCATTTGGTTAAGGCTTTGGGGATAAGTGGGGTCCCTTTCATT